AAAGAACCGTCATGCCTTCTACGGCATCCTCTTCGGATTGCCATATTGTGATGGGAGATGAAATCGGTAAGAGTGCAGTAGAAGATGAGGACAATGTCAGGGAACCAGAGGAAGAGGAAGATATTGAAGAAGACGAGGATGAGGATGCCTGAGAGAACATGGATTTTCAGAAGACTTTGCCAGGATTGCTGGGCCATGATCTGAACAGCAGCCCTGTCAAAGTCCTTGTTTCAGATGGGTTCTTCTCTGCAGACTCAGAGAATACAGGCCCAGGGCAGTGCCTTAATACGGTGTCCATTCTAGGTTGTGTTTTTCTCCAAACTTTGTTTAGAATCTAATACAATGATTAATCTTACTACTAGTTTATTGTCTGAAAATCAAGCTTTCATTCACCCTCCTAATGACACCAATATGGGTTTTACCACATTTTTGCTTATATAAGCAATGTCAAACAAGACCATTTCATGGACTCAGAGAATTTTTGCATTTTTGTTGATTCGGGTTATGACTTGGACTGTGGGGATTTTTTCATGAAAACTAAAGTTGTAGTCCTCATTAAGGAGAGCCTATCCATAGTCTCATGACATCATCAGGATAAGATCCTAGTGAAATATAAGCAAAATACTTGAAAAACATAAAAAAAGACTTGATGAGATTTTTGCCTTTTGCATGTTTGGGTTTGTCATAAGAGTAATAATGGTTCATGTTAGCTTAGAAATAAGTCACCATAAGGCATAATGATATTTTCGCATTTTTGCTTATTTGGGTCAGGATTGCAATGGTAAGGATTACATACAGCCTTCATCAGTATCTATTTTTGGAGATTTGCATAAAGTGTTTTATGATTGTCATAATTGTTATAATGGCCATAATGTGTCATATCCTGCATTCCAGACCCGGACCTATCACACAAATCATTTCTGGAAATCCAGATCTGGCTGACTTCGATCTTCTGTATCTGTTCCCTTCTCAGTTAGCCCCTGTCTCTGGACATTTGGTTATATCCATAACCGGCTGTACTCAATTTCTGTCCCTCTTTCATTTCCTTCTTCATTTAATTGACTTCTGATAGACTAGTGTTAGGTGTTCCATAGCCTCACATAGCCTCGCACTGCACTGACTGATTCTCTGTTAAGTCCTCAGTAGTATATAAACCCTGTAAATTCTCTGTAGTTCCTTAGTGTGAATATTATTTTAGACTCTGCTTATTCCCCTCTGTTTGACTTGAGTTTCTCCTCTTGTTGTCCTCCATTAGCCTTAGGATTGACTCCTATAGACTTGTCACCTCTGCCTCTATCTCTGGTAGTCCTCCACTGTTTCTTTTCTAGTTCAGACATCGTCTGGATTAGTCTTATCACTCATTCCCAAATGTCTGCCAGAATTCCTGTGCATCAGACATCATCCAACAGCCTTCAGAAGTTAGGGGCACAGCGCACAAGCTGAAGCCAAGCCCTTCAGATCAGACCCTTGAGCATGTTCTTAACATAATGGCTACAATAAGCTATTATGGCATAGACCTTTTTTTCTGATGTGCCACAAGTCTACCTAATAGTGTGAGTCTCGATGGGGATGTATTTCTTTTGCATGTCATGTAAATGAACTTCCTAACTAATCTATTTGACTCTCAGCTATAGTTAACTAACTTTGAAGGTGCTCTTTTTTTGAATAAATCTTTGAATAAATAAGAACAGGAGTATACTAAGATCAGATTATTTGCTATTTTAATTACTAAAGGCATTAGTGTGACACTAACACCTTTAATTTGATATACCTTACACTAGGCCTCTTTCACTAATTTTGTGGTAACTAATAAAATCAGAAAATGATGCCTGTATGACAATTAGATACCAAAAAATAGAGTGGGTGGTTATGAGAATCTTTTTACGATATTAGTGGTTCTCAAAGTCAAACCTTGAAAAGAATTCATAGCAAATTCGGATGCTGCAGATACAGCAGGTTTTGAACTCCGACCTGCCCCACTGGTGTGCTCAATGTTGTTGCTACTGGTGTTGACGCTGCCAAAGCTTTAATCTGATTCTTAATTACTATCAGTAGAAACACCCAGGATTATGTCATGATCCAATCAAAGAGGTCAAACTAATACATCCACTGGTATGGACACCTCAAAAAAGTATACTATCCATTGGGGGTCCATAGCGCTTGAGTTGATGAGGAGGGAGGGGAGTTGGGGGAGTTGGGGGAAGAGGTAGCAGTAGGTGCAGGAGAGAGAGTAGAGGGAGTAGAGGGAGTAGAGGGAGGAGAAAGAGGAGAGTCGAATCCAGTAGGAGGGTATAATCTGGCTATTATGTCGTTGGCTGATGGGAGTGGCTTGGGGGAGTTGGGTTGTGGGGTGGGAGGTTGAGATTGAGAGGAGGATGGGCATGTAAAGGTGATAGTGGTCTGGCGAAGTGAGTGACTAGTTTCTGGCAGGCAGGAGGTTCTTGCAGGAGCTTGATTGCGGGTGGGGGAGTTAGATTTGTGAGGATGCAGGGGGGAGATCTCATGGGTCCAGGCCGCCTTAGTGGGGTAGTAGGGCATGTGATTTTCTGGGTACTTCTCGTCAAGAAGTTCACACCTGCGAATAAACTCAGGGCACTTCCTATTCCAACTGGTATGATCTTCAGTATAACAATTGACACAGCAAGTGGTGCGATAGGTGTTGTATTGGATGGTGAAGTGTGGGCCTGCACATATACCACATGTGTCGGTCGGTTCAGAACAGTTGCAGGTGATATGTCCATATCATTGGCACTTAGCACACCAAGTGGGTTCTCTTTTGTCCTTTTGGACAACAATGCGCTCGTTCTCGATAGAGATTCCTTCTCATAGGATGTTGTTGGCTGTGTGTGCATCTGCCACTTGGAGGAGGGCAAACACTTTGCATTGTTCTGAGGACGGGTGGGCAGGTGGTTTAATCCAATAAATGGAGGCTAGGAATTCATCAGGCAGTAAGTTTTCAGCTTTGACATGGCAGAGGAATGTGTTGTCTTTGATCTGCAGGCAGATTGGTAAGTATTCTAATACTAAGGCGAACATTCAAGAGCAGAACAATACTGTGGACTCAAATTGTCCTTTGAGTAGTGTGCTCCCAGTTGGGCTTCTAAGCCAGGTCGCTAGTTCTTCTGTGTTTAGTTCTACCACTATGCCTCCATTGCGAAGTGCTGTGACTGCTCTGATGTATGTAGGTGGGGTGTTGTTATCATGGATGTTTCCAATGGCTTCCTTGAGTCTGGAGGCAATGTCCTTATTGGAGGTTCCTGGTGGGAAGAGTGTTGTTCCTGGTTTGGAGTTGAGTAATATCTGACAGGCCTGAATAGCTGCTCGGCCCACTGTTCGGTTGACTTTAGGAGGTAATTGGGCAGTGGCTATGGAGCTGTATGATGGTTTGGTAGAGGTTTGGGAGGGAGGCGGTGCATTGGCCATCTGAATTGAGAGGTGGTTGACGTGTTCTTGGGTGGTGTCCAATGAGGGAGTGAGAACCTTGATGGCATTCTGGCAGTCACCGACGGTGGTGTAGCGTCCGCTATTTCCTTGAGGCACTCAGCAGCTATAGATACTCCCCCTTCTTGTTTTGTTCTTTCATTTTGTGTGAGCCTATGGAGCCTCTCCACTTTGTCCAAGGTTGTGGTCAGAGTTTCCTCTGCTTGCCGAGCTGTCTTAGATAGGGCTTCCGAGGCTGCATGTACACTAGCGACTTGAGGGGCTAAAGCTGCTATAGTGTGGTCGATGATATGGGTGAAGAGAGATTCGGTTGGAGTCACTGAGATTTATATAGAGAGGAAGGTGGCAAGGTTCTTAGCTGCAGCCTTGGCTATTTTACAGACAACATGTTTCCTAAGAATGAACACTACTGCCCTGACTGCTGCAGTTACTGGAACTGGGGTGGTGGTGGACATTTGGGTGATATGAAACAGTATAAATGACAGGTGGGTCAACATGAATGGTTGGCCCTCAAGGCAGAGGAGTTTGGAGATCAGGAATTTTTCTGCGCTGGTAGTATCCATAATGTTGTTAGGTAGGGCCATGATGTCCTCAGTCGAAGTTGGGTTGTGTGTAGTTTTCCTGGTGTTTGGAGTGTTGGTTGGAGTTGGAGTTGGAGTTGGAGGGTGTATTTTGGGGGAGCAATAGAAGGATACTGTCATATCCTGCGTTCCAGACCCGGACCTATCACACACATCACTTCCGGATTTGCAGATCCGGCCTACTTCTATCTATCATCTGGATCTGACCTGCATCTAACTTCCGTGCCTTATCCCTTTGTACGTTCCTTCTCCAGTTAGACTATACACATTTTCCGTACCTCATTTCATTTCTGCCTTTATTTTCCTATGTTCTCATTTCTGTCTTCATTTACTATTTTCCGATAGACTAGTGTTAGACTTTTCTATATGCTCCGTCCACAGCCTCACATAGCTTCAGACTGCGCTGACTGATTCTCCATTAAGTCCTCAGTAGTATATAAACCCTGCAGAATCCTTGTACTTCCTCAGTTCAAATATTATCTTAGACTCTGCTCATTCCCTCCTCCGTCCGACTTGAGTTCTCCTCTCATCGTCCTCTGCTAGTCTTAGGATTGACTCCTATAGACTTGTCATCTCTGCCTCTACCTCTGGTAGTCCTCCGCTGTTTCCTTTCTAGTTCAGACATCGTCTGGATTAGTCTTATCACTCATTCCCGAACGTCCGCTGGAATTCCCGTGCATTGGACATCATCCGACAACCTTCAGACATTGTTCGACAGCCCTTGGAAGTTAGGGGCACATACTTGGGTAAGGGGCACAGTGCATGAGCTGAAGCCAAGCCCTTTGGATTTGACCCTTGAGCATGTTCTTAACAGATACTACAAATTCAAAGGTCACATCTAATATTTTTATCTCAGTTCATCTCATCCCATACCTACTAATGAGTAATCATGTTAGCGTTGGAATAACACAATGAATACAACTAGCTTCTCTAATTTAATTTTAAATTCAGAGGACTCACCAAAGGAAATCAGTGATGGGCTGGATAGTCTAGTGGTTAAGACAATTCTATCAGACCTTAGATGGCCTAGGTTTAAATCATAGTCCTGCTATTACTCATCTGTAAACTTAATGCTAATTTGCTACTCATCAGTAAATTTGGTATTCAAGAACATCAGTTTAATGTTTTTATTTTATTTTTAGTTCTCCATAAAGCAAAGAAAGTCATATGAAGACCGAAAAACCAATCATTGCTTGATGAACTAGGCAGGGGGCAAAGAAGAAGGCATGACTGCCTTCTTTAGGACAACTATTGGTACACCTCAATTCTCCAGATAATAATGGGCCTTATCACTTGTTTAGCATGTAAGTGCTGGAGCTCTAACCTTAAAAATAGAAGGATGTCACCAAACAGAAATAGGTTTCCAACTTCAAAAAAATTCTTTTCTTGGGCTGGTACATATGTTAGAGGAATCTTCAAATATTCAATATAAGCTTATTCTATCTCATTTCATGCCTGCTCCAACTATGTTACCTAGACCCTCAGACATACAGATAATCATTTCAGAGTTGAAATAATATAGTAAAATGCTCCAGATGTCATCTAGATCACCTATACAACATCATGAAAGATGTGAGATTGTGTAAGCAGATACAAAATACAAACATAGACTAAGGAAATGTGGCTTTTGGTGAGGATGAATTGGCTTTTATCTCTAATTCCCTGATATGCATGTTAATCATTCACTATAGAAGTAGGTATGCTTATGATTGTCTAGCACTTTATGGTCTCCTAAAGTAAGCTTGGATAGGGTCTGATACCTTTAAAGACATTATTTGTAAGCATAAGCCATATGTGCCTAGTGAACAGGACTATCAATTATCTAATAAAGAGTTCAGTAGTAGACAACCTGATAGACCATGTACACGATCTCATTATCAACCTAGGAGAGCTGTTTTGAGTCTGGTCTATGTTAGTATATAACTAAGATGCTTCTGAATACAATGTGCATCTGCTAGGATCTTTCCTATTGTATCTCAGCCTGCAGTGTGCCATATCTATGATGTACATGTATTGTTCTTCCTGAGTTAACTCTTAGTGATTTAGATTATATACACCTGTGAATCAATCTGGAATCTAATTGGAGGGATCATAGAAGTCTGTTGTGTCAATAGATATAATGTAGTCTATGGCAACTATAGAGTCACATTGATAGAATATGTGGAATAAGCTAGGGATAATGTGATATCCATAATTCACCCAATCCATTCAAGCAGTTGAGAGCTGGATTCTATCAGCCTGGAATGTCATATTTTGAAAATCACTTTTGGCCAGCTTTAATATTATATAGTGTGGGACCTATGCTAGCTAGCTAAGGCACTGAAGATGGTCTTAGTTTTGACCAGCTCTTTTTATGGGTAGCAAGGAAAATAATTAGCTTTTGCTTAGCTGCTTGTCTAACTTTTCAATAATCACATAGCTTAGTAATATTATCTGCTCTCAAATAAAATAAGTTCTTCAGCAAGAAGTTCTTAGAGGGGTAATTTAGATTAGCATATGAAGGAAGCTTGGTGTAGCCTTTCTTATTAATAATAAGTTCAGGTGATTTGCACTTTATATTATTATCCTTATCAAACTCCTTAGGGTCTAATAATTGTTTAATTATTAGTTCTGTGCTTTCTCACAGATTCTTACTTCTGTTTCCTAATGCTCTACAATGAGTTTGTGCAAGTATAACTAGAAAGCTGAGATAGAGCCAGGTGTTTGATAACATAGTAAGAGTAAATATATGAACTCTCTATTAAATGCTTCAAGCTTTGGCCTGCAAGCCAATAAGTATTTGAAAGTAATGAGAAGAATTAACTCACCTTTTGACATTGATTTTCTCATCTTAAGAAGTAGTGTCTTTGTTAGATGTCATTTTTTGTCAAGTTAAGAATATCTATAATAGTAAAAATATATCATAATAATATGTTTATATCTTTTCATTATATCTCTCAATTAACATAGTTTTCAGACTTTCATTTTATAAAATTCATAAGCCTTAGAATTAATAACCCATAAAGGTTAATTATGAGTTACTTGTTTTTTTTACAGTATTATATATATTTGCTGACCTACAGAATAATCATACTCTGCACTCTGACAACCAATGACACTTTATAAGGCTCCCAAAATGTAGGAACAATCAAAGTCCAATATATTACCACCTAAAGCAGAACCATAAGTGTGTACTGCAAGTGTTTGAAAGTATTAACTAATTGAAAAAAAAGTTACTTAACACTAATTCCTGACATTCAGCATAGGGAAAATTCCCTAAAGATGTCACAAGCTCAAGTTTGGAAAAGGACAAAGACTCACTTGTGAATCAGATTATTATCAGATTCAATAACATTTAAAATATACTGATAATCTTCTTCTGAAATGTTCAAGAATACCTACTACAGAAATCAGCCTGAGAAAGATAAGAAACACATAGCTTCTTGTACCTTAACTTTAGGCTCATTACCACTGTTTTAAATTCTGCTAATAATTAGTTAGTAAAAACCTACAAATATTAATAAATGAATTACATCACACCAGGGTGACATGAAGTAAAGGTAAATGTGTCAATACAGTACTGCTTCTTTATCTTTCAGGTTAATCATATTTTTCACATGTAATAATGCTGTAACCTTATAGCTTTGATTAGAGACCCATAATATAAAATGTTGAAATAGACAGGAATAAACAACTGATGTTCCTGAACCTTTTTGAAAACCTTTTTCTCTCTGAAATGAGTCTAACTTCACTTTATATCCTGTATTGAGACTATTTGCTGGTTTATTCCCATGCAACACAAGAGCCATGTAATAGTCCATATATGCTAAATGACATTTTAAATTTGAGCTAGATGAATCAGCCTTCACCTCAACCACATCCTATTAGATCCAGAGTTTAGTATTTCTTTTCCCTTTTTCTATACTTCTAGTGCAAAATGAGTTGATCATTGGTGAGTTAGATGAGCTTGGGTGCATGGTTGCATACTTACTTCCTCACACAATCAGCTACTATTAGGAAAATCAGTAAGGGGATGTCTTTCAAAATATCACCCTTTCTAACTCTGAAGACCCTGTGAGGGATTTTTGGCATCCCACCATTGTCCTTAGCACTGTCATACCACACTAAGAACTTTACCGGTATTTTATACTTTCTTTTTATCCAGATGAAGTCGCTGTTGTCAAAGGTGTGGTAGAAAATAGTAGATTTTTTGCAAGGCATGATGGTAGTGGGCATATTGGATGTTGATTGTTCATTTACTTATTTATCATAAAATCAAATATTAAATGTCTCCTCCCTTCATTTAAACTTCTCGTGCCATTATGCCAGGAGGCTGATCTATTATGATTCATGATGAGACCTCTAATTTGGTTCCTACACTTGTGTTCCAGCCTGACTTTGCCTCAAGGAATCGTGGTTAAACTCTCAACCTATTTTTGCCACCGAGGTAACAACTCTTATGAACAAAGTATTAAAATGAAAGTAAAGTGGGCTCAGCAAGCAAATCATTTGTAAAACCCTATTAAATTTAGTGATGAAATGTTTTGATTAGTTGTCACCTCTCTATAAAAGATTACACTATTAATGATAGTACCAACTATTTGTGGTTCTGAGGGATTTTTGACTTTGAGATTCTGAGGACATTTTTTGTTTATTATTACCTCTCTATGAGTATCAAACCATTGATAATGGTACTAACTATTTTTGGTGCTGGGGAACTTCTTGTTGGTTGTCACTTCTTTATAAGGGTTGAATCATTAACTATAGTACCCACTATTTGTCAGGTCTGGGTTTTTTTTTCCTAACTCTGAAGGCTTTGTTAGTTGGTTATCACCTCTCCATAAGAGTTAAACAATTGATAATAGTACTAACTATTTTTTATTCTGAGGGATTTTTTTGTTAGTTGTCACCTTTCTATGGAGGTTAAACCATTAATAATAATACTAACTATTTGTCAGTTCTAAGGGTTTTTTCTTTCTGATTCTAGGAGTTTAATTGGTTGGTTGTTATCTCTCCACAAGAATAAAATCATTGATAATAGTACCAACTGTTTTTTGTTCCTAGTGATTTATTGATTGTCATCTTTTAAATGTTCTTCTATATATTATTTAATGTATATTGATATAAGTAACATAATATAGATGTAAGCAATATACTATAAGTAATATAACAAAATGTTAAAGCTTTGTGGCTTTCTTAGTGGATTGACTGCCTAGTTTTAGGGGATTGATGAACATTACTTTTGGCCTTCTTAGATGTCTTTCTAGAATCGCTAGACTTCATTTTTTTCCTTTCACTTTTACCACTACTTTCTCCTTATTCTTATTCTTATTCTCTTCCATCAACATCTTTTTATTCTTCTGTTCTTCTACTACAGACTTCTTTTCCTCCTTCCACAGTTTTACTAGAAGCCTGTTAGCTTTCTATAACTTCTTTGTGGCCTTTTCAAGCTTCTGATTCTCCTCCTTCAATTTTTATTTCTCATATTTCTCTTCTAAAGCTTCTGCAACTTATCTGTCTTCTTACTACTACCTCTTCACCTGCATCATCAATAGCATCATTTTTAGCTTTAGATTTATCTCTACAAGTAGTCTTATTAAGGATAGTACATTCTTGCTGAATGTTCTTGAACTTTAGTAGATACATAAGCCCACCTCTAACCTTCTTAACTATTTTTATGACCAGGTCAAGCATCTTAATATTTAAGATAGAGGCTCTAATATAAATAGAAGTTTCAAAAGTGACCATATTTATCTCATACTTAATAGTTCATTTACACTCTCTAAGTAGCAATTCAAGACCTAGTGTAACTTGTATTATAGATAGTAAGCCAGTGATCTTGGCAAAGGTGGCTGTTGCTAAGAACCTCTATATCTCACTATCTATGCAATGCACATCATTTAGAAGATAAGACCCTTCCTAGGACTAAGTTGCCCAAGCAGGTTATTTCTTTTGCTAGTTAAAACTGAATTCCTGGACTCAATTAGTATAAAGTATGACTTGTTAATTGATAACATATCTTTTCTAGGTCTCTAATATCCTTTACTAAAAGCAGATATTCATCATTGCTGC